TTCCTTGTTTTCCCGCTGCATCAATCAACAACAGTTTTAATACAGAAATTTAGGTTTTCTACAATTTAACGGTAAGTAATAATGTGTCGCCATTTGGCCAGGTTTAGAGGGAAAGTTTAGTTATACGAAATACATGCTGGTTACAGATTTAGTTGTGTAGCTGTTCGCTTTTTTTCAATGATTTTTGTTAAAGTGCGAAAATGTGTAAATAAACTAACGCGTTCCATTTGATGGTAAAGTTTAAAATTTCTCCACGAGATGCCACGTTGTTGTAAGTTTCATTTTGAACCACACTGTCGTGCTCGAGTAACTTTTTCACCCAATGCTGAATGAGTGTATTAACAATTTCTTTAGTTTCAGGCCTATTTTTTTTATTTATTTATTCATGCTTTATTACATAAGAAGCTTCCTGATAAAATAATGTGAAGGAAAAAATGAAGAGGAAATGCACCACTGCACAAAATAAATTTATAAAAATAAAAGATAATAATAAGAAAAAGAAAACAAAAAACTGAAAACTTTCACATTTGATATTACACCCAAAAGGGTGTTTTTTTCTTTACACTTATATACACGTTTCCAGAGTATTTGGGGTAAAGATATTTAAAAACCACATAATTTTAGAATTTTCGATAGACAGTTTCGCGCGCTGTAGTTAAAAATATTTTATTCCGCACAATGTTTGCCACTGCTCGCTTTGAAATCGTTGAGTGTGTTAATCAAAAATTCGTTAAAGGTTAAAAAATATACAATAGATAATAAAACAAGTTCGAAATTCGAGATTCGGGCTTTCAGGTGCCCATGTTCGGGTGGAGGACTACATTATTCAAAATTTGATGGCTCTTGGTATCGTTGTTTTTTCACATTGAGGGAAACTACATACACTTATGCAGATTCTTCATTATTTAATTTCTTTAAATATAATATAGGGGGATAAAACTAGGTGGCAACAGTTTGAAAAGGGATACAGGCGTTTAGAGTGAATCGAAGCAAAATGCAGTTTTCAGAATAACAGCCCTTCTGATTTAACTATCTTTTGGGCATTAAAAAAAGCTGAAAGGTTTCAAATTTCAAAGGTCGCCCAAAAGGGTTTTTTAAGTTTTTCACCCTCTCGCTGATCTCACAGTCTATAAGTCTGCTTTTACACTGACTCCTACTAATCCGTTTTTTTTTTTTTTTTTTTGTCCTTTTTGTTATTATTAAGCAACATTTTATTGGCACTTATGGCATATACAGTTCAAAAGCAAAATTACAACAATTTTAAAAGCAGCATATTAGTATATGTTTAGAATTCTCGATTCAGTGTTAAGTGTTGCCCCACATTTTTCTGTTTATTTTTCCCAGCCTTTTCTTAGTTTATTTTATCAATATTCAGTTTTCTTACTACGATAGCTTTATAAAACTATTTTTGGTACTTTTCCGTTTCGACGGTGCAAATCTCGCCAAGTACACTGTATTGGCGACACGATACAGTATACACGTAAAAAATGTTAACATATGTTAGTTCTAAGAATTTTAAGGTACAAACATTTTAATATCGTTTAAAATTTTATAAAAAGCCAATAAATTTGCAAAAAGACATTAATTTAAGAATTAACTATGCTTTCATGGTTCAACCTTTTGATTCGCTGGTTCATATCAGATGACCCCAATCTTGATCTCATCTCACGTAAAATGCGCTACAAAAATTTAATTCTCTCAGTAATTATCTGTATTAATTTCAAGTTAAATCTTAATTTGGAATACAAGTTTAAAATGCAAGAATTATTTCACTTCGTATGAATAGCTTACTCAGAAATTATGTAAAACCGCAGTGCTTTACTTTGCTAGTGCATTCTCATTAGATTTGATGAATTTAACCCTTGACATTGCCTTTTCCATATTTTCGCCTTCAGGTGAGCTGTGTGATTGCATCCTAATTAACTTAATTACCGAGAATGGCCTTAGGGCATAAAATTGAACTATCTGGTAAAAATTCTGTGTAATTTTATGCCAGTATTGAAAGAAACATTCAAAGCAATGGCTTCGACTTGTTTTGAAAATAAGGCGTAAAAGGTTACCAGAGAGGATATACCGTTTGGCATCAGTTGTACCACTATTGGCGACTTTATCGCCTGTGCCGGCAAAACGGAAAAGTACCTTTTTTTGTCTTTTTATTATTAACATTTTGTGCGTTAACTTTACTAAATATCACATTTTTGGCATTTACGTTACATAAAATTTCAATTCAACAGCAAAATCACAAAATATTTCAAAACAGCATATTTTTAGAATTTCCGATTAGGCATGTGTTTTTAAATATGTGTCGTATTTTCTACTTCTAAATGCTCTACTGAAATTTTATGTAAGTTTTCTCTTATATGTTTTCTACTATGCAGTATTTTCTAATGCATTACAAGTCCAAGATCCGGGCTTGTCGAACATAGGCGATTCTGAATCTGAGATTTCTCCAGATAGTCAGTTTAAATATGGTAAGATCGCATGCAAACATTATAAAATTTAAAAAATGAAATAGTGATTTAAGCAGGGCGCCAAAGCCAGAACCCTCGTCCTCGTAAATGCCTTTCGAAGTTAGGATATCCGGGTCTTGAAGACCCCTCATTGGTGGCGCAGACACCACAGTCCCTGCCCTGCTTTATATGTAGCCTCAGCAAGTACGAAAACGTTGAACTTAATACTAAATACATTGCTTAATACATCTTTGCTTCGGGGCACAACTCCGTCGGCATCGAATAAATTCGTTTAGGTGCCTTGCCTTACTCCGTCAGTCCCCGTCACTGAAACTCTGTGGGCCAAACCCCCATCGAGAAGGTCGTGAAAATCTAACCAGTTCAAAAATAGTAACAAGTAATGAAAGGTTTGTTACTTCAAGTGGAAAATTCCAAGAGAGACACTTATTCAAAAAATAAAACACATTGAGTATTTTGCATTGCAGTTGGATGAAAGTACCGATATAACGAACTTAGTTCAATTATTAGTTTACATACGTTTCGAAGAACAGAAAAGAACTGCTGAAGAGTATTTATTTTATAAATAGCTTCATTATAGTACAGGTGACAACGCTGTTGGAACAAGAGGGCTCCTGACCAACTTTTGGTATCGCAGTTGGCTTCCTTATCCACTATACCGTCTAGCGGCAGTTGTTGTAATTAACTGAATCTGTAATTTTGTGGAAAGAGTTCCGTTAAAAGAAAAAACCAAACAAAGAGAATCGTAACTGCTCATTTTTAATGTCAAAATGTACTTTTTATTTACATTTAAATGTATATTTAATTATATAAGTATTACGATGCGTAAATGTATTAATTATATTATACAGAGACATAATATATTTACACATGGGTTCATATTTTTATTTGGTGCTGTTAAATACTTCTCAGAGTAAGAAGTAATCTAGAACAGATTGAAAACTCAATTTAACAGTTGATACTAATGTAATTTCAAAATTATTGACAGATGTCTTTTCATAAATTAAGTCCTCAGCTTATATTTTAGACTACATAGTCTGGCATGAAACACAACGTGTTCTGCTGATACATTTTCCCTTATAATACATTTTAATGTATTATAATGTATTTATTAGCATTTTCTGTAGACTCACTATCACTATAATTTATTAAATCCAAGAATATATTTTTTTTGTATTAATCGAATGCTGATAAAAATTTGTATTTACATGTTTAGACTTTTTAGTTAATTTCTTGTATTTTATGAAAATAAATAAACTAAATTTCACAAAAAGAAACAGTACATTACACAAAGCATTTTCTCATGAAAACCTTTTAATTTAAACTTCATAGTTTCCATAGCATTATTACGTATACTAATTTATTTCGCAACAGTGAATTTCATCAATGAATTTCCATTGCTTTTAGGATGATGCCACTGTTAAAATATCTTCTTGCGTCACCGCCATTTGCAAAGTTTACAGTTAGAGATTTCAGCTGGTAATGTTCGTTGTAGCACAGTCTGAGAATTTCTTGAACTTGCAAAGTATTTGGAATTCTTCCTTTGACTTCCTTCTTACTTTATTTTTTTATTTTTTTTCTGAAAATTACTATGTACATTGAGTTCGACGCTATTGCACTTCATATCACGGCTCCACCTACTGCATAGCATGCACGCTAACTCGCTTCAAATGTAAACTTTTAATGACTAAAAAAGTAGCTGAGATGTTTCTGTAAAAGTAGAAGTTTTTGCAAATCAAATCTGATCTTCTTGATACCTTAATACAATATTTCTTCGAATTATAGAAAACCGAAGATCGCAAAGTCCAAGATCTTGTGATAGAAAGTTCATTCATTATTTTATTTACCACACACATTTCTTCCGCAACATCAGCACTACGAGAAAATTTTAAAACTAAGTTCAGTTAACGACAGTATTGTATCAGGCAAGCATGTTCTTCAGATGGCTTAAGAAATTGAAGATGCGTCTATGAATCTGTATTAAATCTAAATTAGTTTCTTACAAGTACGCGATTAATATACTATTCTAATATTATTTTAAGCGCTTGAATACTTTAAAGAATTAAATTACCATGCTCAATGAAGAAAACTCTTCTTACAAGCAAATTTGTTTAGTAATTATTGACTATTAAAAACCTATCTTAATCTTTTTTTGTTTTACGGTATTTAAAGGGAGGAATAGCTCAAAATTTTAAAAAAAAAAATAATATTATATATCACACTCAAATAAGCTTTTTTTTTTTTTTTTTTTTTTTTTCTCATTTGCACACACATAGACATTTCGAGAGCATTTGGGTTAACGTTCTTTTGGGTTAAAAATATTTAAAAACAGCATCTTTAGAATTTCCGTTAGACAGTCTCGCGAGCTGGAGATAAAAATTTTTTATCTCCTACAATGTTGCCACTGTTCGCTTTGAAATCGTTTAGTTTTTTAATCAAAAATTCGTTAAAGTTTCACAAAATAGGAAAAAAAATTTCCAAATTCGGGCTTCCAAATGCCCATATTCGGGTGGAAGACTATGTTATTCAAAATTTAATGGCTTTAGATACTGTTTTTTCACAATGCTAGAAATATACATACATTCATGCAGGTTCTTCATTATTTAATTTCTTTAAATATAATACAGGGTGATAAGATTTAGTGGCATCAACTCTTTTAGTGTTTCGACGCAAAATGTCGTTTCGAGACAAATAACCCTTTTGGTCTTACGGCCTTTTGGACTAACAAGAGAATTCAGTTAAAATATGTATGCTATTTACAATTTTAGATAGAAGTTTAAGGCGCTTTTATTTTAATCAATAATAAATTATTGAAGGGATCTTACTTTGGTAAAATTAAATTAAAACATTTATTATTTTGCAACAATTTTTAAAATGCCTTTTATTTTCACGCAGTGCATTTCTTCAATCAAAACCTTATAACAATTATATCACGAACAATATTTTTGAGGAAGTTTTTTGCGAGGACCTAAAACACACAAGGCATTTAAAATTTTACCCATCAAGATTAACAAGGTATCGGAAAGTCCTTCGCAGTTCTTACTGTATCTGTGATTAATACATCAAATTATCGGCAGACATAAGAAAAGTAATCAAATAATGATTCTGTCTCTCTTTACCCACCCCATTTTTAATTTCACACGAAACACGCAGAATAGAAATGCTTGCCTGACACTTACTGTCATTCCATTCTTTCTTTATTTAAAACAGTTATTGATCATTAAAAATCTCGTAAATGGTATCTGAGAAGTGAATAGAGCAATCTTCGAGTCACATATATAGTGTAGGAATTTATTTCTAATCTTAATGACTTGAACTGCACCAGGACAACTACCCTTTCTCAGAGAGGCTCTTCCACCTCTTGATTCGAAACTCTTAGCCGTCTTCAAACTCCTTAAATATTGATGGAGATAGCGTGCTTGCTGAAGGAACATTGAGTCAAGCCGTGTTGCGGCGAATCCATCGGAACCATGGCCTACTAGATTCACTCTACGGTCGGAAAGAACTAAGTAGACGGCATACTATCCGAGGATTCGTCTTGTTGCCGATGATGAGAAAGTTCATTTTCTCTTTTCAGTCGCTTGTTGTCACGGCAGTCGAGGTCATCGTGATCAGAGCAGTCCTCATGACGTAACTGTTCGGCTTCGGAATCGTGTTTTTTCTTCGCCGTTGCCATCTCAGCTGCGTGCTTCTTCCGCCACTTTGTTCGTCTGTTTTGGAACCATACCTGAAAAAAATGCAGATTTTTAACAATCAAATTTCATTTAAGATAAAAATAAAAAACAAAGAATATGTACATTGAACAGAACAAACGGGTTCAACACATAATAAAATGGTCTTCTTCTAAGCCAAATTTAAGAGCTATTCAAGATTCATCACTGGATTTATACTGTTTATACAGCATAGTGATAGGCAGTGTTTTCCTTATGGCAAAAATATTGTGATTCGTATGTACAAGCGAATTTCAGTATATTCTAAAAAAGATAATTCCTCTTGCACAGGAGAAAATGTTGCAAAATTTGACGTGATAGAAATCGTTTGGTAAAGATTATGAAAACTTTTATTTGTCACTTAAGGGGAATCGGAATCTCCTATACAGACAACATTAAATTGGCCATTTTCGATGTACCTTTTCTCAAAATCTGCTGTAGATACACGTTTGAAATTTTTTGTGTAATTAAAGTACACCTATCCGATTATACTGAAATGAGCGGTTGAAACATTTTAACTCTTAGAGAAGTTTATAGAATATTATATTAAGCATAGTAAAGTTTAGCACTTTTGTCGGAAAAAAAAAAAAAAAAAAATGGGGGGGGGGGTCATTTTTTTTTCTTAGTTTATCACAAAAAGCTCATTTCAGTAAATATTAGAAAACATAACAAATAAGCCATTAAAAATGTACATACCTGTGAGCAGTAGTTTCTGAGAAAAGGTACTTCCAGTATTAAAAAAAAAAAAAACATATTTGGAGAAAAACACATTTTTATGTAAAACTCCTCATTTATCAAAGCATTCGATGATAAATTAAAATTATGTTTTTTACAATTCTAATTTTCATAAAGAACTTAATTGGTATTTTTAGAAATGGTATGGTATTTTTAGAAATTTTTAGTGTAGGCAATTTGAAAATCTGAAAATCTCAAATCACCATTTTTTGAAGATTTTTGGCTTCCAACACCGCCCCCTCCCAGACACAGCCGCAGCCCCAGAAATAAAATGCATGCTAAAGGGTCTGTGTTCGTGTAGTGATGCATATCGCTCGAAATTCTCACAGAGAATGATTATTTACGCCAGCAGAACTCTTTTATCTACACCTCAACATCGTTGTATATTACTCCGACGTGCCGTTTCAGTTATTTTTATGATACATACTTTTTAATCACCCTGTATGTGAAGATAAACGCACAGAGGTGTGCATGAAGAAATTTTACGGTATATATACGATACGATGTACAATACGGTACGACATACTATATATATTTTACGATTAAGAGATATGATTTTATCAAAATAAGAGAATATTGATTGAATGATGCAAGAGGAGCCAATAGAACAGGGCTAAGATCATGATAAAATACAAAATGTTGCCATAATTGGATATTTATATATATAAACCAGCTGAAACCGTATGGCTGAATAATTCGAGTTAGAATTTACGTAATAACTTTAAACTTTTGCACAGCATTTGCGTTACGAACGAAGGTTCTTGTGAAAAGCAATGTAACAGACATTTTTCTGAAGAAGAAAAGGTAAATCATTGTAGGATTCCTTATTATTTTAATGAAAATTCACGTTAAACAGCACTTAATGTATCGCTGCTTTAAAACCATTGAGCAATTATCCTTTTACTATACCCTTGAATTAATTACAATTTTACGGGCGTGTTTTCAATTATTTACATTTTTCGACTTCACAAGAATATCTATTGACTGGCATGAAATATCGGAAGTTTACTATACATGAGATCCGGAAGTATGTGTATTTAATTATGGCAAAGCACATTAGGGCTATCTGCCTAAGGGAAGGGATGCCTTCGTGGAGGACTTTCTAAGGGAAACTGGCTCGTATACACGTTACACATTGGGAAAACCACGAAAACACCCATGCAGCCAGCCCGTTCGCGGGATTCGAACCTCGGACCGAACTACCAGTGTTCAGCGACTTTACCGCTCGGCCGCTGGTGGGCCGAGATCCGGAAGTAAATAATTAGTTTGTTAGGTTACAGAAGAATAAAAACATACAGGTTTGTTTTATTTTGTAATATAAAAGGAATTTCCCAAAACTTTTATATGAACACTGATTTTTGCAGCTCAAAACACGAGGTTTAATCTCGAAATGGGATCTTTCGTCGGTTCCTTATAAATGGTGTATCACTTTTCAAATTGTTGCCACCAAATATTATTCCCCTGCATTATTTTTAAAGGAATTAAATTACGAAGAATCTTCATTTATGCATGTATGTTCCTCGCATTAGGAAAAACCTCTGCCCTAACATGTGCAAATGCAGCCCAGAATTTTGAATTTCGAATTTGTTTTATTTTTATTTCAGGTTTTGTAAAACTTGAATGAATTTTTGACTAACAAACTCAAAAATTTCAAAGCGACCTTTGGCAGCACTGTACGGAATAAAACATTTTTATCTCCAGCGCGGGAGATTGTGCATCGGAAATTCTATAGATACACTGTTTTTAATACTTTGTGATTTCGCTGTTGTGGCGTAAGTGCGAAGAATGTGATATTTAATAAATAAAATTAAGACGCACAAACATTAATAATAATAAAACAAAAAACAAAGTTTTGCATGCCATCTAAAAAAACTGATCATTGATATGATGAACTGATGAAAGACTGAAAAAATAATATACATAAAAATGTACGCCAATACTTAACGCTGCTCTGTTGCTTTTACAATTATTATAATTTTGCTGTTGAATTGCATATGGCGTAAGTCCGAAGAAAATGATGCTTCATATTAAAGCTAAAAAGACAAAAAAGGAGGGGTTTATCAGGCCTGAGTGCAACAGCAAACTGGTAGACCGCGACCTCAGCGAGAGCGTAAAAAACCTTAACAAACTCTTTTGGACGACCGTTAAAATCTGAAATCTTTCAGACTTTTTAAAATTACTTATCAGCATTTATTTTGCGTTATTTAGCACGTTTTGATATTTCCTTCATCTGATCCAATAAATTCTTGTTACTGATATAACATACCTCTTAACTTTTATGCTTTGATTTAATAAACATGTATATCTAAATCACTTATTTAATAAATATTATTTTTCAAAATTTAATTTTTGAAATAGGTAAATATACGGATATGAAAGAGATTAAGACTAAGATTTCTTTGTATACTATTCGCGTGATTCTATGCATATGAAATTGAATCTAAACTTTTATCGCCATATCCATATTCCTATGTATTGGGAAAAAAGCGGTAGAAACGGTGAAATTTATACGCGATCGTACATAAAAGATTCAAATAACGAGACTCAGTTCCGTGCGGAACATTAAACTCTTTCGACCCGCAGTATGTAAATAGGGCAACTTTCACAGAAACGATAAGGTTGATTTTTATGCAGATTGTTTTTCCCATAATGGGGAAAGCTTTCTTTCGCTGCTTAGAGAAAATAATCTGATACGAAAACTCACCCCGGGTTTGGAATAGAACATTTGACTCCAATGGTATTGTTTTTCTTTCTTTCTTCTTTGCTGTAATATTATTTCTGAGAATGTGGAGTAACTAGATTAGGTATAAACTTGTTCAGGTACTTTCATCATATGCCTCTATGCTGGTCACCATTTTGTATAATTTTATTTAATTAATTATTATGTAAATTTATGTTGTCATGCTTAGTATAACTCTACAAATGCAGAATTTGTTTTTCCGTGAGTTTTTTTCTAGTTTCGTCTTTCTCCTCTCGTCAAATCCCAATTCTCCCTCTCGTAAAATTCCTATCACTCTGTAACGTAAAATATTTCTTTCCTTTTTTTCTTTTCTTCTTTTAGTTAAAATTGCGCAGATGCAATTGCCAGTACAGTAAATTATTATCAGAATTGCTAACATCAGACATATATCTGACATCATTACATGGTATCTGACATCATTACATGGAATCTGACGCAATACATAAATATAACGTCTTAAGTGTTTTCTCTCCTCCAAATTCAGTTAAAAATTCTTATGTTTTTTTAAATGCAGTTTATTCTTATTTTATTTTTTATAAAATTGAACTTCTGTTTAATGTTTTTATGTTACAGAATTTAAATATTTATGAAGATTTTTATTTCAGGACAAAATAATAACATTTTCACTGGCATGCCTTCGTGGTGTGGTGGTCTGCACGCTGGGCGCGTATTCCAGAGGTCCGCGGTTCGATTCCCGGCGAAGGCGGTTGCTCATTTTTCATCTTTTCTGCTTTCAAAAATTACCTAATGTCTCTACAGTGGCGCCCGAACTAAAAGGGTGGTTGATGATGAATCTCCACACCCAGGATTTGGCGACTGAGTCCCCTAAAAATCCCCAGTCGCTGTCTAAAAAGGAGAAGTATATAAGGTATTTCTTCCGCCTTTTTGGCATGCCTTTGTGGTGTGGTGGTCTGCATGCTGAGCCCCTTTTCCAGAGGTCCGCGGTTCGATTCCCGGCGAAGGCGGTTGCTCATTTTTCATCTTTCCTGCGTCGAAAAATACCTAACGTATCTACAACTTGATACAGATGAGTTTAAACTATTTTTACTTTCTTGCATTTATTTTAATTTTTTATTTGTTTTTGCTTGATGTAATTTAAATCAAAAGTTATCCATGTACCAGATTGCCTATAATACATGCACCTTTTTATTTCCTTTTCGTGTAATTTTTCCATTTACCTTTTTAATTTTGTTTTAATGCAATTCTTTCGAAAAAAAAATATTTTGTTAGATTTGTTGAGTTCTTTGTTTCAAAAATGATAACACCAAGCAAATAATCATCAATAAATGTTTTGCAAAGCTAGAAATCTTTGGCGCTTAATACCGATAATCAAATGTATACGAGCCAGTTTTCCTCAAAAAGTCCTCCACAAAGGCATCCTTCCCCTTACGCAGATAGTCCTCGAGTGCTTTTCCATAATCATATACAGACACTAATAATCTAATGAATAGCGAGGCTAACATTATAAAGAAATCAAAGAGGAATCGACTTCGTTTTCTTTCATCCAATGGATGGTTATTAGCTGTTTGATTTAATGACAGAAAAGCACGTGAGTATTATCGGCCAAAGGGATGCCTTCATGGAGGACTCCCTTGAAGAAACTCGCTTATATTCACGTTGCATATTGAAAAAAATCATAAAATAATTCATGCAGATCGATCAGATCTCCAAAACCCAACTAGTGACCTCTAAAAAACAACTAGTGAATTTTCACTGTGTCTTCTAAATACCATAGAGACACGGAAAGGGTGTAAAGGACCCTTTATCAATGCACACGAAGTATAACAGACGAGACCAGCTCATGCTTACAGAAGCCAACACTTTTGGCTTAAAATCAAAGATAATGGATGATGTTTAAGTATAGCCTAACGGCTTCAGAGTTTAACTACCGCTCAAGCTGGCGTAAACAAGCCTGAAGTTGGCGTAAACAAGCTTAATGGCAAGAATAACTCAACGCCGCAGAATCCTAATCGCTAGAGGATCAAAGTTAACAACGTGGCCTTCAAGCCGCCAGAACATGCTCTGATTTCACCCTCCAAAGCGTTCCTTTAAGTACTTTCTTCATATTACCTAATTCGAATATCGCGCACGCTGGAAATTTACATTCTGCTAAGGAAACGAAATGATGCTTGATAGAAAAGTAATTTAACTTAAAAATAAAAGGTTAGAAAATTAAAATGAACCTAACATAGTTAAGCTCTTTTCTTTTCGTTTTCATCTATTTCGTTTCTTTACATGATAATGCCTTACAGTTTCACTTTTCCTTCCGCAAATAGAAATCCTTTTTTTTTTTTTTTTTTTTTAATAACTATCGTTGCATTCTACGGGTTCGTGGATTTGGAATAATTCATGATAACGCTTGACGAAGGATCAAAACGCAGTTTCTTTCACCAGCGTACGCACCCAACACACGCACAACAAATACGCTGAAAAAATCAGCAACACAGCTTTCAGGGGTGTCCGCCGATAACATCGTGGCAAAAACATAGCGGACGAAAACGTCGCGGAGAAAACAACGCAAGGTGAAAACGTCGTGCTACAAAACATCGTGGGAGAAAACATCGCAAAGAGAAAACATCGCAGTCTTAAAACATCGTGGTACAAAACATCGTCGTCGAAAATAAAGCAGTTCAAAAACTTCGCAGTTTAAAAACATCGTCGTCGAAAACATCGTGATAAAAAATAAAGTACCTACAAATCATCGCATGACGATAACATCCCAGATATGCTTTTTTTTTTTTCAGGCTTTAATAACTGTAAATGGAGATATGGTTCCCATAAGGATTTGTGAGCGCAAGATGTAAAGAAGGATAATTTTTACTTTCACAGTTTTTTATTGACTAATAAATTTTTGCTGAAAAAAGTAAGAAGGAAACTTAAGCATAGAAAATTAAATGCAACTTATAGATTATACTTTTCATGAAAAAATTAGTACCAGTAAAAACTTTATAAAAATGATTTACTATATGGCCTTTGTTAGTTAACTATGTCGGTTTAAAATTCTATTGAAGTGCTATAAGTTGCATTAATTTTCTATGCTTGAGTTTCCTTCGTATTTTCTCAGCAAAAATTTATTAGTTAATAAAAAATATGAAAGTAAAAATTATCCTTCTTTCCATCTTGCGCTCACAAATCATTATGGGAATATCCATTAACAGTTATTAAAAGCCTGAAAAAAAGCATGTCTGCGATGTTATCGTCATCCGATGATTTGTAGATACTTTATTTTTTACCGCGATATTTTCGACGACGATGTTTTTAAACTGCGAAGTTTTTGAACTGCTTTATTTTCGACGACGATGTTTTGTACCACGATGTTTTAGGACTGCAATGTTTTCTCTTTGCGATGTTTTCTCCCACGATGTTTTGTAGCACGACGTTTTCGGCTTGCGTTGTTTTCTCCGCGACGTTTTCGTCCGCGATGTTCTTTCCGCGGTGTTTTCGGTTGTAACCCTTTCAGGATGTAACGATGAAGAAGTGCTTCACGGCAAAGCACTAAAATACAGATTTCAACTCGGTCGATCGCTCTCAAGCTAATCCCTAAACCCGAGACACACTACTACTACTCTGTCCCACAACAGGCAGGACATATATAACTTAAACCTAACTTCGAGAATATTCGCGAGAAAACCGCTAAGAATGTGTTTTAGAATGTTCTCGCTCCGTCTATGGCATATCGCCATTTTTATAATCTAACGTCGATTGGGAGATTTCGCGCCAACTGTGAACACTCTGTGCTTTCCTTGCCATTTTCTGGCAACCCTTTCACAATAGCTCGGCATTTCGCAACACCAGTTTTTTTTTTTTTTTTTTTTTTTTTAACCCAGTTTTTCTTTCTTTTTCTTCTAGAAGTTTTTTTTCTTTCTGTTTGCATAATGCAGAAAGATATATGAGCTAATACGAACCTTGCATACTAGTTTCACACTATTTTCAAACAGAAAGCAGTAAAGAAGAAATATATCTTTACCTTGACTTGACTTTCTGACATTCCTAGAGCATAAGCCAGTTTCGCTCTCTCTGGACCTGCCAGGTACTTGGTCTGTTCGAAAGTCTTCTCCAGCACGTATATCTGGTGACCAGAGAATGTCGGCCTCGTGTGTTTCTTTTTACCATCTTTGTCCACTGCGTTCTGTACCGCTGCAACAAATAATAACAGATAAGAATAACACGAATTAAAATATTAATTATTTTAACGTATTTGTTTCACTGTTAATACTTCCAAGACACTTCCAATTAATACGAATAGCGTAAATGACTTTCATATTAATTATTTTTTTCATTCAAAATATGTAAGACCCACTAATTGGACAAGCATTCGAAATTATTAAAATTCATTTAAACAGTAAAAATTTGTTTAAAAGATTTTACAAAACGAAAACTGTACAACGCATACAATTAAAAACCTTCATTTGAAACTTGCAAATGTGGAGTTTTTTTTTTTTACTCTTTCGAAAATGATGGAAAAGTATAGAGTAACACATTAAGATACAAAAGCTACGAAAAGTGCAAAGTATAAAAGCAGGAAATCATAAATGCAGAAAAAGTATAAAGTAACATTTGTGGATACAGGTAGACACAAAAGTTTCGTCCAATTTTTAATTTTTTTATTTTTTTTTATTTTTAAGTAACAATTGAAGTGCGACTTAAAAACGCATTTCATTGTTGATTAAAATAAGTTAATTAAGCTGAATGTAAGCTACAAGAGCAGCCCGGATCACGTCATTCCAAAATTCACTCTCGCCCGTCCTATTATGGAGTCCGAAGCTGGTATGCCTGAAAATAAAGACCTCTCGATAGAACTTCCTAGACAATTTATTTTGTAGCTTTAATTCCTCGACTGAGATGTTGTACAAAATTTGTCGATTATTCGAGTTCTCATACATTTTCCGGCACAGCAGCAGCAGAGCGGCAAAGTCGCTGAACACTGGTAGTTTGATCTGAGGTTCGGATCCGCGAACGGGCTGGCTGCAAGGGCGTTTTTGGCGTGTTTCCCATGTGTAACGTGTATACGAACAAGTTTTTCTTAGAAAGAAGTGCCTTCACGAAGGCATCCCTTCCCTTAGGCAGATGCGCTCAAGACTTTGCCGGAATCACATAAACCAAACTAAACCAAAACCCATAAATTTGCTTCTTAATTATGAACTGCAAGGGACTTTTGTGCGATACGTAATCATTAGATCACGTCAAACACAGCTGCTCAAGTCAAATGCAAAATAATCGCTTGTATGGAGGTACTACTGTCAGCTTTCGAAATGAATAATTTTTCAAAATTTCCTCTGCACTGAAGAGACGGATCGGTCTGGAGAAACCTAACATATAAAACGTTTTTCCCTAACTAGTAAAAAAAGAGGGAGAGAGAGAGAAATTTTACCTTACCACTGATGGCAGCACCATTCCAGCAGCAAAACATTGCAGTTTTCGCAACGATACAAAAGTAAGCCGCAAATTTCTTCTTTTGTATGGTCTACATTTAGTTAGTGTTGATTTAATTGTCTGCAAGTAATAAAATGTTGAAATCACAAATTACATTTGTTGTTCTGTAAGGTATTTCTCTTAGCACGCCTTCGTAGTGTAGTGGTCAACACGCTGGGCACGTATTCCAGAGGTCCGTGATTCGATTCCCGGCGAAGGTGTTAAATATTTTTCACTTTTCCTGCTTCCAAAAAATACCTAAGGTCTCTACAGTAGCGCCCAAACTAAGAGGTGGTGAATGCTTTCTTTCTTTTCGCCATCAACGAACAGCGCTTAGTACTGTGTCTTCCGGTAATTGGCCACGAAACGAGGAACATTGAAATAAGGACCAGAACATGGAAAGAAGGTGCATGGTGGAGACTGCTGAGACTAAGCGGAATACTTTTCACTATTATTGTACATGTTAGGCATACAGTTATATTAAGGATGTGCTTCATTTTTCAAGTCTCTTGCTTCCAAAATACCTAATGTCACTACAGTTGTTTCTGTTGTAACTAATCTCGTTTGTCTGATATCAGAGGAAGCCCACGAAATTCATCGAGGCAAGGAGGGAAAATGCGCCTGGCGTTTTTTTTTTTTTTTTTGTTTTTTTTTCTTTTCCGCAGTGCGAGAAACATACGTACATTCATGCAGATTCTTCATTATTTAATTTCTTTTAAAAGTAATACGGGTCTATAATATTTCGTGGCAGCGATTTGAAAAGTGATTCAGGCATTTAAAGAGATACTCCACCAAACTGTTAAAAAAAAAAAAAAAAAAAAAAAAAAAAAAAAAAAAATACATATTCTACCATTTGCACAACCTATAGGCTGTGTATATTAAATATGCACACATAAAAAAGTATTAGATTAAAAACTGGTTACAATTTTGATTATCAAAATTTAAGTTACAATACTTTAATTATAAAATTTAGTTTGAAATGTGGGCCTGTTTAAGAGAGATCAATTACTTAATGTCTGGTCCACCGGCTGTGAATCACGAAAGTAACGAAACTAAATTTGAAGTTAAAGAGTTCATTCTAGTTAATATTGGCTATTTTCTGCATAATCCCTTTTTAAACGGGGGAAAAAATATGGTCTTAAAACGAGAGATGAAAAATTCCACGATAGACTTATTTGGCAACATAGGATTAAATCTCTGACCTTGACCTTGGTTAATCTATATATGGCACTCAAGAGGATTCCCCTCTTCTCCGTTTTCTGACAACAGCCATTCATAAAGCAGAAGCATGGAAACATAAGAAGATTAATAATGTTAGTCATAGGTAAGGGAAAAAAACTAATAGTTAAAACAATCAAATTAATTAACTTCTTGCTAGTATTAAATCAAATGACTTAAAGAACAGAAAATTCGATCACGCCAAATGCATTCTTTATTTCAATTAGAGGTATTTTTATACATACATCTTTCTAATTAGTTATATTACTATCTTTTTAATTAGTTTTTAATAATTATTATGACGTAAAGAACGAAAAAGTAATTTCTCTAAAGGGGAATGTGGAGGATTTTCTAAGGAATATTTTATTGTGCTCACATTACGCATTAAAGACTCGTTCGTCCACTAGGTGCGTTGGGATTTTAACCTCTACTCAATGTAATGTTCAGCAATTTTTTTAGCCCAGTTATTAGTGGTCTTATATGAAAGTAAAACATTCAATTAGGAAATTGTTTTCACTTAATAAAGTATAACTGAAAACATTTCAAGTATTGGTGACTAGTAGTCATTTGAAAAGTACGAATAAAGCCGGATATTCCTATAGAAAAGTGTTTTGTTTTAAATATGCATCACTTTGATGACAACTTATTTTCTATCTATTTCGTTGAAAGAAGTTTAAATTTATTTAATTTTTCAGCTACACTTCAAAGGTTTGACTTAAAACACTAAAATATACAATTCTTTACTTCTATTTCTCTCTCTCTCTCTTTTTTTTTCTCAGAAGTATAACTTAAATTCACTATTCCGCATAGCAATTTTATAAAGTCAGTTACTGGTGGGCTTATATGAAAGCAAAACTTTCAAGTAATAAATTGTCTTCACTAAATAAATTGTAATTGAAAACATTTTAAATATTTGGTGACTAATAGTCATTTGAAAAATGCAAATAAGACCTATTCAAAAAACATTCACTATTCACTATTGGCTGGAAAAGACAGATTCTATTTCGCATTATTGCAGTTTAAAACATGATTAAAACTTCTATCTTTCAAAAACTTCTAACTGTAACCATTCAAATATATATATATATTATATGTGTGATGTGTCAGCTTTTGTCCAGAATAAATAGATCGTTGAAGAAATATAGATGTAGTTGTAGCTTAAATTATCAGACGATAAGTTTTAAAAAAAAACAGGATCCATTTATTATTATTCGGGAGAAATAGCAGTTACAAAATCAGATATCCGGAGTAAATAAAAAGAATTACTAATAACTTTTTGTATGAAGTTTACTGCATTGTGACATTTAAGAAAAAAGCCGCGATATTCCTTTTGCGAGTCCTTTTATAGCCTCTGGAAAGGCGGAGCTTCCAAGAAATGACGTCAGCCTCGTCAGCCATTCCAGTTGGCTTTAAATATCTCCAGAACATTCTAAAACTGTACGTGTAGAAAAGGCGGGAAAAACAACTTGACTACGGGGCTGTGTGATTTAATACACGTACTTTCAAATAAGAGAACGTCGCCATTAAAATGAAAAAGAACAGTTGATTTAAGTATATCTAATATGGAATTTTATTACATAATATATATATATATGAGATTTTTAATTAATGAATATCTCACTTTTACGTAATTTTGCTGGCCTGTGTTCACGTTCATCAATCTTTAAACGAACGAAATAATTTCGGCATCATCTGATGATAAAAAAAAAAAAAAAAAAAAAAAAAAAAAAAAATCTGAAATTTTTCAGATTTTAAATTACGTCCAAAGGGGCGTTTTTTAACATTTTGTGTGTTACCTTTCTTTATTAAATATCATGTTCCTCGCACTTAAACCATAAGATCCAGTGCAACAGCAATATCGCAAAATAGTTTTAAAAACGAGCATATCTTTAGAATTTCCGATACAGAGACTCACGCGCTGGAGATAAAAATGTTTTTTCTGCACAACGTTGCCATTGCTCGCTTTGAAATCCTTGAGTTTGTTAATCAAAAATTCGTCAAAGTTTTAAAAAATAGGAAATCGATCATAAAACAAATTTCAAATTTCAAATTTGGTCTTCCACATGCTCATATTCGTTGGAGGATTACGTTATTCAAAATTCGATGACTCTATGTACCGTTATTTTATGACAATACGAGAAATATACATACATTTACGCAGATTTTTCATTATTTAATTTCTTCAAATATAATGCAGGACTCTAACATTTTATGGGCAACAGTTTGAAAAGTGAACCGACATTTATGAGTCCGACGCAAAATGCCAAAACGAAACTAATAGTCCTTCGGGATTCAAATCCCTTTGGACTAAAAAAAAAAAAAAAAAAATCTGAAATGTTTCAGATTTTAAATTACGTCCAAAGGGGCGTTTTTTAACATTTTGTGTGTTACCTTTCTTTATTAAATATCATGTTCCTCGCACTTAAACCATAAGATCCAGTGCAACAGCAATATCGCAAAATAGTTTTAAAACGAGCATATCTTTAGAATTTCCGATACAGAGACTC